GTCTTTAACCAGAAGTAGGCCTGGGTAGCACTGTGTTGAGTTTCGCCTTTGAGTTGTTGTCGCTCTTTGAGTTAATGAGTTTCAAATCATGGTTTTGACCACTCCCAAAAATTTCGTATTAAAGTGAGGTTTTTGCCATTTAAAACCGTAGATTTTCTCTTTCGATTGATGTTCTGGCAACGTTTGAGAGATTTTTGGTTTTTTCTTGGCAATTTTATTAAAATGAGTCTCTCTGTACCAACGGCCAATCGCTTTCCGTTAGTAACTGCAAATATGCTGGAAACTCCCAGAAAATTCCTAACCAAGTGAGTTTTTCCTCACTTAAACCTCCGGATTTTCTCTTTCGAAAGGTGTTATGGGACGCATTCAAGAATTTTTTGTTTTTCTTTGGCAAATTTTTTAAAAATCCGTGATGTCCAATGACCAATCGCTTCGATTTAGTAGCTGAAAAAATCTTGAAAACTCCCAGAAATTTTCTATTAAAGTGAGGTTTTTCCCATTTAAAACCATAGATTTTCTCTTTCGATTGATGTTCGGGGCACGTTTGAGAGATTTTTGGTTTTTTCTTGACAATTTTTTTAAAATGCGTCTCTCTGTACCAACGGCCACTCGCTTTCCCTAAGTAACTGCAAACATGCTGGAAACTCCCAGAAAATTCCTAGTCAAGTGAGTTTTTCCTCACTTATAGCGGCAGATGTTATGGGACGCATTTAGGAATTTTTGGTTTCTCCTTGGCGAATTTTTGAAAAATCCGTGTTGTCCAACAAGCAATCGCGTCGATTCAGTAGCTGAAAAAATCCTGAAAGCTCCCAGAAATTTCCTATTAAAGTGGGGCTTTCCTCATTTAAAGCCGCCGATCGTCTCTTTCGAGTGAAATTTTGAGAGATTTTTTGTTTTTCCTTGACAATTTTTTTTAAATCCCTCAATCCCGCATGTGTAATTGCAGCCTGAATGGGCCAGACCGCCAAGCACCCCATCTGCCGATGGGGCAGCAACCACTCAGCAGCCTGGACAATGGAGCTCCTCAAAGCCCCCCACTCGCAGCACCACCAAAGCCCCTGAAGCCGCCAGCCGGCCTGAATCGACCTCTTCTAAAGCACCGACTAGAAGAACCACCAAAGCTCCTGAAGCCACCAGCCGGCCCCAATCGACCTCTTCTGAAGCACCGACTAGAAGAACCACCAAAGCGCCTCCTGCTGAAGGCAGCAGCCCTGGAAGTGGAGGAGCTTCGAACGAAATCGACTATCCGAAGGACTGCAAGGGGGACTTTATGCCTCATCCAGACTGCACTAAGGTAAAGTGCCAAGGATCTGGTTGATTTTTTAAAAATCTGGCC